GGAGGAGGCGGGGAAGGAGGAGGTGCCCGCTCTTCGTGCGTGGACTTCCGCCCAGGGCCCGCTCCGTGCGCGCCTCGGGCCCGCCCCCATGCGCTGGCCGGCGCTTCCGGAACCTCTGCCCCCCGACAGGGCCAGGAGGAGGAGGAGGAGGAGGAGGAGGAGGAGGAGGAGGAGGAGGAGGAGGAGGAGGAGGAGGAGGAGGAGGAGGAGGAGGAGGAGGAGGAGGAGGGAGGAGGCGGAGGAGGAGGAGGAGGAGGAGGAGGAGGAGGAGGAGGAGGAGGAGGAGGAGGAGGAGGAGGAGGAGGAGGAGGAGGAGGAGGAGGAGGAGGGGGAGGAGGAGGAGGAGGAGGAGGAGGAGGAGGAGGAGGAGGAGGAGGAGGAGGAGGAGGAGGAGGAGGAGGAGGAAGAAGAAGAAGAAGAAGAGGAGGAGGAGGAGGAGGAGGAGGAGGAGGGGGAGCTGGATTTGGCGCTTGGATTTGGCACAAGAAACCTTCCGTAAGAACCCCAACCCTGAGACCCCAGGACGTCCCGTCGCAACCCGAGAGACCCGGGGCGCCCTGGAGGCAAGCAGGGTGTTTCTTGGCACGGGCTTCCACTGTGTCCTCCCCCTCCGCGCATTGCTTTCACGACGCCCGATCGTCCACCCCAGAATAGAGCAACCACGAGCATGCCAGACACGCCTGTATCGATCCCCCTCCCGTCATCGGATGCAAATGCTGTTGTATTGAGCCCGCAGGGCGGGAGTCACGGCGGGCCCCCAGGGGGGAAGCTTGCACGCAGAGTTTGCAATCAGTGGGTGGGGTACAGCCTCGACGAGGGTCGGCACCAATCGTTGCAATGTTGCTTGGGAGCGTAGTTGCGCCCCCTGGGGGCCTTCGGGGTCCATGGGGCACGACGTGCGTGAGGTGTGTGCCGCATCGAGGCTCCATGCAGCCGTCTCGGTTGCCAGCTGAGCGCCCAACATTCACGAAGTGCTTGAGGGGTGTGCCGAATTGAGGGTCCCATCAAAATAAGAGGGCAATGCATATGTATTTTTACATCCCCCAGGAGCCTCGAGGCCCAAACCAGTGTTTCGTCACGTGTCTCAGGAGACTGAGAGCGCGGATCACTCAAATTCTCAGGTGTCTCGGTCGAGTGTGGGGCAGGAAATGCGCGAGGGGTGTCTAGAATTTGAACCCTTCGTCGCCCTCGGAGCGCAGAGCACCCGTATTTGCAGGTGTCCTGGTGGAGCGTCGGGCAGGACATGCGTGAGCGGTGGCCCGCGATGGCAGTGCCGTAGCGCTGGAGGCGCTGCTCGCTCGTGCCTGCACGCGTCGCAGAGCAATATGTCAGACAGGCCGTGCGCGAGGGGTGCGCCGAAGCGACTCTTTCGCGGCCCGCAGGGCGCATCTCACTCGTGATCTTACGTGTCCCGGGAGCTGTCGCGCGCGTGGGCCTGGCGCGGGGAGAGCATGTCTCATTTGTGTGTTCTGAGGTGCCCTCAGGAGAATGCATGAGAAATCGGCCGGCGCAAGCCGCGAGGCCGTTCTCAGCATGCTTTTGCGCGTGCTTCTCGGCCTCCTCCATGTCACCTTCATCTCATCATCTCCTTTCGGAGGAGGGGGAGGAGGAGGAGGAGGAGGAGGAGGAGGAGGAGGAGGAGGAGGAGGAGGAGGAGGAGGGAGGAGGAGGAGGAGGGGGAGGAGGAGGGAGGAGGAGGAGGAGGAGGAGGGAGGAGGAGGAGGATATCACAGCGAGGGCCCGCAGGGGGGCCTTCCGAGTTGAGCCCGCCGCGCGGGAGTCACAGCGGGCCCCCAGAGGGGAACACGCACGAAGATATTGCGATCGGTGGCCTGGCATCGCTCGGACGTGTGCAATTTTTTCTCGGCGAGAACCATCGAGGACCATCCTCGACCAACGCGCAAAAAAAACACGCACGAAACCGAAAAATGCACGGGAAATGGACGTCCGAGCGACGGCGAGGTGGGTGTTCGGGGTACGGCTTCGACGAGGATCGGCACCACTCGTTGCAACTTTTCTTAGGGCCGTCTTGGCGTCCCTTGGCGGGACAGGCCGTCTTCGGAGCCAACGGAGGGCCACGAAGTGCGTGAGGGGCGAGCCGGAACCCTTGAACCGTCTAAAGGATGCAGCGGAAGGCCCCTGGGAGTCCAGGAGGCTCGAAATGCGTCAGAAGTGTGCCGATTGAGGCTTACTTCAGCCGTCTTCAAGGCCAGCGGATCGCCTTTGGAGGTCCTTGGGGCACGAAATGCGTGAGGGGCGTGCCAAACTCATGCCCCAAGGAGCAGTCTCTCGGGCCAGACCAGGTCCCATGATGCACGGAGTGCGTGAGTGGTGTGCCGACTGAGGCTCTTAGGAGAATCGGTATGCGAATCCCTCGTGCTTTACGTGTCTCAGAGGCCTGGGGGCGCAGCAACTGCGTGAGGGGCGTGCCGAAACAACGCTTTCGCAGCCCTAAAGGCGCATCTCACTCGTGTCCTTACGTGTCCCCAGAGGGTGGTAAGGCATCGGCCGGCGGAATGCGGCGGGAGGGCAGCGGAATCAGCGAAGCCCTTCTTAGCAAGCCTTATGGATTCGAGCCATTCCCCTCCATTTCATCAGCGCTTCCTCATCCTGTGTCGACAGCTAACACGGCGAGGGCCCGCAGAGGGCCCGCCAGATTTAGTCGTGTCGCTCGTTCCGCCGGCCCAGACAATCACATCGCGGGCGTTTGCCCGCGCGTTCGTTGCCACTGCGGCGCTGACGGGTGGTGGTAGTTTCCTTGAAGTGTTGCACAAGCAGTCATGGGCGTCTCGGGGCAGAGGGCTCGACATGGTTGTTCGTGCCCCCCCCTCATGAGCCCACCTTGAGCCCACCTTGGGCTCCCCTTGAGGCCCTCTTAGGCCGTCTTCGGACCGCTTGGGGGCTCATGGTAGCGTCGTTGGCACTTGCCTGTGTGCTCGCGGGGACACTTTTGGAGCCTCGTGGAGCATCTGGGGGGCATCTTTGGGGACTATTGGGGACCTCTTGAAGTGATCCTGGGGGCCTCTGGGGGCCTCCTAGGGACCTCTTGGAGATCTCTTGGTGCCGTCTTGGGTGCTTTCGGACCCTCGTGGGGGTTTGGAGGCTTCTCGGAAGGCTGATGGGGCCGTCTTGGTGCCCTCTTGGGCCGTCCTGAGGGTCTCTTGGCCTGAACTGTGTCAATCTGGGGGGCTGCGTGGGCCTTCTTGGACGGCGAAAGGACAAACAAGAGGTAACGGGAAGATGTGTGAAAACCAGCCAGGTTGCAAGAGTCTTGGCCTTTTGGAGGCCTCTTGGAGCTGTATTGGGCCATTCGGAGGCTATCTTGAACCTTTTTGGGAGCGCATGAAGGCCATCGTGGAACCTGCCGTCCATGGCTCCCGACTCGAATGACCTCTTCGGGGTCCCTTGGGGTCCCTCGGAGCGCTCCGGGAGCGCTCTTAGAGACCCTGCAGACCGCCCCCGGGAGCTCTGGCACCCACGAGGACCACCGCCCAGGACCTGCGCGGGGACCGCCCGAGCCACTCTCTTTCTTGGAGCGGGAACCCGGGGGCCGCCACGAGCGCGCGAAGCTTCACAAACAAGTCCTGCCCCCGGCGACTCTGGCACGCCTCTAGCTCAGGGCGCCAGAAACAGGGGCACAGCAAAAGGGGGTACGGGGAACGCCGATTTCCACGTTCGGCTATGCCCCCATTTAGGGGGCCCTGGGCGCCGTAGACGGGAGTACAGTAAACGGGGGTATATGGAACAGCCTAGCCAAAGCCCCCGTTTAGCTAAAGCCCCGTTTATGAAGCCCCGACTGGCCCGTTGGGCCGGCGAATTCGGTGCACACGCGCTGACGCCGGCCAATTTTCTCTCAAGTAATTACGTGCGGGCCACACGCACGCGTCTAAAGCCCGCGCACGTCGACATCGTGATGAAGCCAGTGGCTTCCTGAGCACTTCTAGGTAGAGGTGTTCAAGGGCATGTAAAGACAGGAGTTGCCAAATGAAAGATATGTCAGAGTTTCTGCGTCGCCCTCGTCGTCAGCGCCACCTCCATCATCATCGTCGCCGTCGCCGATGTCGTCATCACTGGGTCGCCTGGGCCATTGGTCTGCACATGAAGGGTGCTCGGGTCCGTGTGCCAGGTGAGCTTTGCCAACAAGTTGCGGGTGGGTTGGAGGGATAGTTGTTCAAGCATTGGGGTTGACGGTTTTAATATGTTCAACATTAAATACACCAAACAGTTTGAACACACACACACACAGGTTGCACCATACACAGAGTACACCACAAAGACTGCACATCGGTGGTGGAGGAACCCGCTGTTTGGAGCCCACGCTGGCGTGCACACTGGCCCCGCACTGCATAGGTTGTGAACTCTCCTGTGAAGCAGGCTCCCCGAAGAAGGGGCGGGCAGCCTTCGAACCTTTGAGTTAACAGAGGCAGTTTCAACGCCAGCACCGAGAGCGTCGACGAGGTTCCCCGGGGCCTGCCACGCGGGTTAGGTTTTTTTTTCCCCGGAGCCCGCGGCGGGGCCTCTCGAGATCTCTCGCTGTCCCTGCCGAGATCCTGCGTGTGGCACGGTGCCTCCGCAGGGCGCTGGAAGTCACCCCTGGCCATTGCCCAGGTCCAGGGCTTGGGCCTTGCGAGGCTGAGACACCATGCTGGCACACAGCTCCGTCGTGGCGTAGACTCGCGATGCTGACACGACACTGACGAGCGATGCTGACACGCAGTGCGCGCACACGGTGCGCGCAATGATGCTTGTGCACAGCGCTACCGAGCAATGTTGACAGAAAGTTCGGCCCATCGATCAGAGGTGTCGTCGTTTGGGTGGGCATCTAGAGTTCCAAAGTCTTCGCAGATCCAGACTTCGACAAGAAAAGGATGCCAGAGCGCCTTGCGACCATCCCTACGAAGACCGCTAGCCGAGGGTACCATCTCTTGCATGCTGCTGTTAATTACCCTCCTCCTCGTACCCCTCATCCTGTGAAGAGGGAAGTGGTGCGGGGCGCTCAGGCGAAGAACGACGTCCTAACATGGTACAGGCCAAGCGCACGGACCGCGTCATTCGTCTGGCGGGCGAAGCCAGGCCAGAGGGGCGGTCATTGGGGCTGCGGGTCCTCCGCCTCCTCCTCCTTCTTCACCTCCGCCTCCCCCTCATCATCCGTAGCCATGTCGGCTCAAGCCAGTTTGGCTAAATTTTGGCTCAGCCCGTTTTGTTTCAAGGCTCCAGCGCAGTTAAGTGCATTTGCCTATCAGTTGTTGCTTACACGTAGCTATCACATTACATCGGTGTTGCCCACGATGGGCCGCCTCGCTGTGGTCGCAATATTCGTGATTCTGCAGTCCTCGGGTGGCCTGCAACAGCGGACTCGCGACCGAGGACCAGGTTGCGACCAGCCGATTGCAGTGGCTTGGCGAATCGCTGGCCAGGTGCCTCGTTTCATTGACAAGGATTCCACCAAGATCACCGACGGAGGTATCTGCGCTTGGTCTGGGTGCAATGGCTAGACTGATCGGTGTCCCATGTCTGTCCACGTGCATAAGTCCTGGCCTGTGTGCAAATGTGGACGGGCCCTCAATACATGTTACCCACTCATGAGGATCGGGCGTTTGAGGAGCTCGCCACCGCGCAGCATTACGAAAATATTAAGCTGAATACCATAATGCAGCAGAAGGCCACGTTGATATAGGATGAGTTCACGAAGTCTGGCGTTCGCAAAGTCCATGTCCGCATCGTCAGTGCCGATAGGTCCGAGAAGGACGCCAGCATAGTCTGCGATAAAATCTTGGCCACGGCGAAGGCGACGGCGAGTGACATGGAGCCTGAGGTGTTCGACAAATTCTGGAGGGAGTTGCGGGGCCACGAGTGCCGCCCCATGCAAAACGGCAACATGATGTATGTGCGCCACCTCGCCTACAGCTCCGTCGTAGAGGCCAAGGAGAGCCTCCCTTACAAGTACACGCACGTCTTGTACACTCGCGAGGACAATGTCTTCGTGCACCCGTCCTACACCCTGCTGCAGCTCGCCAGGGACATGGACACCGGCGCCGACGGTCGTGGTGGAAAAGTATTGCGACTGGGGTTTATTGCTCCGACTAAGCTGCACTTCGCCTCTCGGAAGGGCATCGACGTCTTGTTCGCGAGGACGCGCGCCGCACACGTCTCCCCGATGGCACGGTGGGCCAGCATGGCAACCAGGGCCAAGCATCGGCTCTCGGCCCAGTGCAGGCGGAGGAGTACTCCAAGAGGCCGTTGGAGGGCGCACGCGCCAACGTTACCATCTCTCTCTCTCGCTCCCCCTCTCTCTCTTTCTCTCTCTCTCTCTCTCTCTCTCTCTCTCTTTTTCTCTCTCTCTCTCTCTCTCTCTCTCTGTCTCCCTCTCTCCCCTATTTATATTTATATATGTAAAATAGCGGCACCTGGGAGGAAGGGCATGGTGTCGAAGTCAAACGCAGATACCCCGCCAGGGAATCGGTTTCGGATCCGTGTTCGTGTTGTGCGTGCGGGAGGGCGAAGTCAGAGCAAAAGTCCCTGGCCGATTCGATGCGAGATATGTGAACGGTGCCAGCGAGGCGTGCATTCACAAGCGATGCAGGAAGTGCCCTGCAGCCGTCACGTTCGGCGTGTGCGTCAGGCAGTTCGCAGGCGACGGGTGGGCCCGTTCCCCTTCCCGGAGGGGAAGCGTGGTCGTGGCACGAGTCGTCCAGACTCAGTCCCTGTGGTAGCTGTACTCTAACTTTATAGTTGTTGTGTTAGCTCAGGCGACGTGCGTTTGGCACGCCGTCTTGGCTGGTACTCTGCTGTTAGCGGCCAGCATAATGTCTGGAGCGTCCGTGGCGTGTCGGCCTCGGCCACACTGCACCGCGTGACAAACAAAACTTCTGTATAAGACTCCAGGATTGAGCAACATCGTCGGCGCTTGGCTCAAGTGTCTGAGTCCGCGCCACCGCGGCACGACACGTTGCGGCATCATCATCATCATCGCCACCACCATCATCATCACAATCAGCATTATCATTCAAACTAGTATCATCATCAACATCATCATCAGCATCACCATCATCATCATCGTTAACCCCTTGCTGCGCATAATAAACCCTAAGTGATAATAAAGTTCGGGGTTTTCGGGGGATCATAAAAGTTGCCCGCCCGAGCCAGCATAAAGAGATATCAAGAGGAAAAAGCCAAAGATATCTTGAGAATCCTTGGTCTTTGGTCCTCTATGAGACATCCTCAACAATGATTTGTCTCGGTTGAGACATCCTCAACGAATTGCTTGTTTCGCTTGAGACATCCTCGAAATATTTGTCAAGTTCAGGGGGCCAGGGAGACAAGAAGAAAAAGAAATAGAAAGAGAAATATAAAGAAAGAAGAGAAGGAAGAGGAGAAGGATGAGAAGGAGGAAGAGCAGGAGAAGCAGAGAAGGAGGTAGAAGCAAAAATCCAAAGTTGAAAACGTATTAGATTTAATTTGTAAGCGCTTAATGAAAATTAAAATTTTCATCTGATCGTGTAGGGTAGCTCATGTGCTTAGTTTTCCCCGGATAATCAACCCCAGCGATAAACAAGTTCAGGGCGCCAAAGGGAGGAGGAGAAAGAAAGACAGAGAGAGAGACAGAGAGAGAGAGAGAAACAGAAAGCAACACAATGAAAAAGAGAGAAAGAGAGAAACGGAAAGCAACACAAAGAAAAAACGTGTTCGCTTCGCTTGATGTTGTTATCTCAACATGAGAAGGAAGTAACCTCGATGGCGAACTTTCCTAGTGATAATGAAGTTCGGCATCCGCGCCCCCGCGCCCCCGACCAAACTCTTATTGGTCGACGACAAAAAACTCTAACGACTTAAGGGGGGGTACTTTATTATCCTGGGCATGTGGTTATTAGCATCACCATCATCATCATCATCATCTGAATCATCATCATCGTCACCCTCATCATCACCATCACCATCATCATCGACAACGTCATCGTCATCGTCATCACCATAATCAGCATCAGCATCAGCATCATCATCGCCATCGTCAGCGTCATCACCATCATCCTCATCATCATCTTCATCACCACCATCCTCATCATCAGCATCACCATCATCATCCCTGCTCCCCCTAGAAGCTCTCCAACCCTCCTCATCCCTCCTCCCTCTACCTTCTCTCTCTCCCCCCCTCCCTCCGTCCTCTTCGTCCTCCCCGGAGATCAGGACGTTGCATTTGCTTCACACCCTGCGCTTCCTGGTTCCACGACGTGGGATGTCCATGGTCGTGCTCCTGCCTCCCCTGCTGTGCTCATCCGAGCCGTCCGCCTGAGCGCTGGTGCCGGCCGCATTGCACTCGCAGCCCCGGCCGCCGCCCCATGTTGCCCCTAAGCAGTCTGCCGCCGTCGCTGCGTGTGCTTCACCGTCGTGGATCCCCCTGTCGGTTGCCTCCCATCGGCACACGCCCGGCGGCAGCCAGCTCAGAGTGACCCGCTGACGCCCTCGCCGAGTTGGACCAGGCGGCCGCGAAGCAAAAAGTCCAGGGCCGCGCTTCTGTTCACAGCGCGGCAGTGTTCTTCACTCAGGCAGTGGCGAAGCGTCCAGGCGTGCCTATAGGCCTACCAAGCAATGTTCTAAGAACCTTTTGGTGGCTTCCGCGAAATGTTCTTAGAACATTTCTGGCTGGGACTGCCTCGTTTTAACACATCGGGCAAATGTTCTAAGAACAGCGTTGTTGTTCTTAGAATATTTCTGGGTTCTAAGAACATGTCGTGGTAGGCCTGTAGGAATGCCGGGACGGTCGGTCCCTGCTCAAGTCCCCGGACCCCCCCACCACCCTCGGACGTTCTCCCTGACATGCTCCAGAGGAGCAAAACGGCACCCGTACTGATGAGCCACCTTCCCACCACCACTACCATATCGTAATGGCCTCCGGCCAGTGCCGCCGATCAGGGGGGGCTCCAGATTCGGTGATCTTCGAGTCGTCGGGGACGCTGTTTGTCAGGAGGGGAAAAAACACACAGACACAATTGATCGTCGATCCCCAAGAAAATATGGGAAAATATGGGAAGTGGGCGGGAAGACAGAAACACAAAAAATATGGGAAAATATGGGGAATCCTTTTATTTGTGTGTATTTATTTGTGTGTCCTTGGGCCCCTTCAGTTTGAGAGTGAGGACGGGCGGTCCCTGCTCAATCCACGTCGTCGGACGTCGCGGCCGCCCCCCCCCCGGAGGCGCAGCGCGCTCGCCGCGCCTGCGGTCGGAGTCCACCAGCTCGGGAGGAGCCCCGCCGCGCCCGCGGGTCGTCGTCGGCGGCGGCGTCGGCGAGGAGGGAGGAGAGGAGGAGGAGGAGGAGGAGGAGGAGGAGGAGGAGGAGGAGGAGGAGGAGGAGGAGGAGGAGGAGGAGGAGGGGAGGAGGGGAGGAGGAGGAGGAGGAGGAGGAGGAGGAGGAGGAGGAGGAGGGGAGGAGGAGGAGGGGAGGAGGAGGAGGAGGAGGGGGAGGGGGGGGGAGGGGAGGGGGAGGGGGAGGGGGAGGAGGGGAGGAGGAGGAGGAGGAGGAGGAGGAGGAGGAGGAGGAGGAGGAGGAGGAGGAGGAGGAGGAGGGAGGGAGGAGGAGGAGGAGGAGGAGGAGGAGGAGGAGGAGGAGAGGAGGAGGAGGAGGAGGAGGGAGGAGGAGGAGGAGAGGAGGAGGAGGAGGAGGAGGAGGAGGTGGAGGAGGAGGAGGAGGAGGAGGAGGAGGAGGAGGAGGAGGAGGGGAGGGGGAGGAGGGGAGGGGAGGAGAGGGGGAGGGGAGGGGGAGGAGGAGGAGGAGGGGGAGGGGGAGGAGGAAGAGGGGGAGGAGGAAGAGGGGGGGGAGGGGGGGGGGGGGGGGAGGGGGAGGGGAGGGGGGAGGGGAGGCGGAGGGAGGAGAGGAGAGGGAGTAGGAGGAGGAGGAGGAGGAGGAGGAGGAGGAGGGGGAGGAGGAGGAGGAGGAGGAGGAGGAGGAGGAGGAGGAGGAGGAGGCGGAGGAGGAGGAGGAGGAGGAGGGGGAGGGGGAGGAGGAGGAGGAGGAGGAGGAGGAGGAGGAGGAGGAGGAGGTCCGTAGCCCTCTTGGCCCAGGGGCTAAGTTTTCTCTGGGAACAGAGTGGACACCACTGGTCCGCGGCTAGACGGTCACATCTTTCAGGCCTCCTTAATCGAGCTGTGCGTTACTGGGGTTGTGCCTCTCATTCCAGGCCACCTCAGTCGAGCTGTGCGCTGCCGAGGGCGACCATCACCATTTCCCTCTTTCTAATCGTGGTTCGCGCTCGCGTGCGCAGAAGTCGAAACTATTTGAACCTGCTGGTGGGAATATGGCTCATGACGCGTCGGGCTGTGCTGGCAGTACTGCTGCGAATTTCCTCCAGGTACATGACCCCTGACAAGGTTCTGCAGACGGACGCCCCCTCTTCCAGCTGACCCTGCAGCCCCTCTCGTTCGCGAGTCTCGATTCCTTCCTGGACTACTGCAGGAAGGACATGGAGTCCACGGTGGCTGCGCCACGTCAGGAAGTCTTCAACACGGCCATATCTGGATAAGGCAAGGCAATGAATTCCGTAATAAGCAGGACATCGCGGAGCGTGGCCACTCCATCATGCGTCAGCAGCTGGAATACATACATGCGCAAGTAATTCTGCGTCCAGGAAGGACGCATCCCCATCAAGGACGACAAGGAGCTAGCCAACTGGGACCGTCAGCCTGACCCAACGTTTCTTCAGCACAGCCTCACAGCGAAGGCGGTGGTGGAAAATGTCAAAGAGGAGTTTGCAGAGTTGGTTTCTTGGGCGGGGATTGCGGAGAATCAGTGGAAGCTGGTCGGCGCGCCCCCGGGCAAGCTGACTCTGCTTCACATGTCAGGAAACATCGGTGCAGCACAGCGTCAAGTTCGAGTTCACGCAACGCCCTTTCGCATTGCAGACGGCGTTTGGCGCCAGGTCACCGTTCAGGCCACAAAAGGTGGTCAGGCTAAATTATTCGTGGGATTGGACAGGTCGCCGAAGCAGGTCCGAATGGAAGCACCGACGAAAAGAATTGTGCAACTACTCGAAGATCGAATGCCTCATTTTCGAATCAAGCATGATCGGTCGAAAGGCATCATGCACGTGGGCAGCATGTCTTCGGCACCCGCATGGGCAGGCGAGTCCACCCGAGGCTCGTTCGAATTTGCCATGGAAGTACGCGGCGGCTCTAGACAAGCAAGTGGACCAGAAACGCGGCAGGACGCTGTCAATGCTTGCTGCAAAACGCAGGAAGACCGAGTCCAGCGGCAGCTTTGGCAAACTTCTCCGTGTCTGGAAAGGTGATTTTCGCATGGGCACTCCTGAGAATACCACATTCGGTTCTTAGGGAGCGCGCGCTGTTGCATCATGAGCCAGACACAGGGCAGAGGAATGCGCAATCGACTCAAGCTTGCTGTGCTGGTCAGCCGCTGGTGGCGCCGCAGCAGGCTCATGGCAGTGTTGAAGAGCTCCGTCATGAGCTCTACCTTCGGCGAATGGACGATGTCATGAGTGGATCCATTCCGACACATGATGCTGGAGAAGTTGCTTGCACCCTTTCCGATACGGTTCAATCGGAGTTCGACGAAGGATTGGCCAATCAACGCATCAGATACTCGGCGCCGATTCATGGTCGCGCTCAGAGGCTGGCCGTTCGCGCTAGAGCGAGTGCAGATCGCGATGGCAACACGGTAGAATCTTACGGCATCAACAAGTACGGCCTCTAGCGCGCGGAGGTGAACCAGATCACCAGTCGCATCGAAGTTGATGCGGGCATAGCAGCAGAGAGGCACGACATCGTTACGGCTGCAGTGACGGGAGGCTTCAATTACATGGAGGCGGCAGCCATGCATCTTCATGCTCCTGAGATCGACAAGGGCTTGGTAGTCGGACCCCGTCAACGCGGACATGGAAGAACATGGGCTCACCCTCCTGCTTCGTCGACCTTGACCCAGCAAGACCCACTCACTACGCGGCGGAAGAGCATCGATTCATACAATTTGATCGACTGTTCATCTCGTGCCCCCAGTGGAGGCTTCTGAATATGGGCACGACTGCGACAGCTATGGAGCAGTCAGAAAAGCTGTAGGACGCGGGAATCTCAGACCACGCGACGTTGCAGATCACCTTCAGGATTCGGCCGCATTGCCCTGCGCAAAATTAAACTCTACCTCGATTTGCGCGTCAGGCGAAGGATTTCAGGAGGCTCTGGAGCTGCCGATGGACAAATCTTCGCCGCTGCCCGATGCGAGGTTTCCGCCGATCCAGAAGCGGAAAGAGTTGCAACGACCGGTGCGCGAGGTTGCCAGGATGGCCAGCAATAGGACGACCCGTTCCTCCACTTCCCCCCCCCCGAGGCCCCCCTCCTGACTCTTCTTTCGATCTCGACAGCGGCACGCTGCAATGACGCGCGTCTCGCCAGGGCTCTCTTGGCCAGCTCCCGCTTCATTGTTGGAGCCCCTCTGATGTCTGAGGTTTTTGTGCCCGCCGTTTCCATGCCCAGCCCCAGTGGATTTCGTAGCAGCAGGTCTTTGCCGAAGTGCCGGGGGTGCGTCTGGCGAGGGCTCACAAGAGGTCCATGCCGAAGACAGCCCGCGGCAAGAACGTAAGAGGCTGCGAGCGCACATGAGAACTGAGAGGCGTCGGGGTAAGCTCTGGGCTCCGAAAGGTAACTCCCCCCTATTCAGGCCCTGGTTGCCCCTCGCCCCCCCCTGACCTCCCTTTCTGAAATGCGTGGAGCCCTGAGCGACTACTGGGCCCCCTTTTCGCCAAAGGAACCTCCGCTCGGCCGCGTGAAAGCGCATGTGCAACAACGCGTGAAGCCCTACGACTGGGGGATGATCTCGCCCCCGACTGAAGGGCTGGTTTCGGCCACTATCAGACGACCCCCCCCCCCGATTGGGACCAGACGACATCCCGCATGCTGGATGGCAGCAGTCGAAGTTGACCGCCCCAGTGCCGTTGTCGTTGCTGCAGGAGCTCATCCGCGGCTTCCCTCCACCAACCGTCCGCATGGCGGCGCCGCCCCATGTCGGCACACCCCTCACACGCTTCGTGGCCACATGGGGAGCTCCACCCAGGGTCCCAGTGGCGCCGTCCGCATGGCGGCGCCGCCCTATTTCGGCACACACCCCACACGCTTCGCGGCCCCGTAGGGAGCTCCACCTGATGCGGTGCATACGACGACGGCGCCCACAACTGCACATGGTTGGGTCCCTCGCCCGGCGAATTCCTTGATTTCATGCCGCCCGGCCGCCGGCGGACGTGCGGTTAAGATCCCAGCGTGCCTGCTCGCCCCTGTCTGCGAGGCAGCGTCGGGTAATCTGCAGGCCCGCGCCACCAAGGCGCTGGCCAATTTCACTCCGCGTCGGAAAAACATTCCAGCGGCGGGCGCGGCAGAATATCTGTGGACGCGGGTCGGCCCAGCAGCCGTCGGAGAATTGATACGACGTCGGATGCTTCGAAAGCGGGCTGCTGCGATTGAGGCGAGAATTGCCACGAAGGTGGCCCCCTCGATTGCCACCAAGCTGTATAGCTTTCGCGCAGCCTTGACGTTCAGCTATCAGGCTCAGCATTCACCCATCCCAGCCTCGACCCTCAAATGGGACTCTTGGGCGATTCATGCAGCGTTGCACGTGCCTGCGCTATCCCTCCCTCCCGGGCAGCTAGTATCGTTGCGGCAGTGGCCTAAGATCAGGCCACAGCCCGCGAAGGTCCAAAGGGTCGCGGCCCTTCTGCGACCTGCCAGAACACCATCTCGAATTGGGGACCTCTGTGGCGCAGGCTGCAGGCAGCGGCACAGCCGCAACTGCCTATGGAGCTGCGGGCATGGAAGTCGCGGTCCCCCCTCGCACCGGGTGGAGCCCCCGTTTGTGCAGGGGCCGCCAGTGGCTCATGAGGGCTTCGCGGAATGCCCGAGATCCCGCCGCCCCGTTCGGATGGCCCACCCCGATCTCGGCGAGGCAGGGCCGGAGAACCCCCGTCGGCGCCCGTGCAGAGGGCGATCTCGGGGGCCCCCGCGCGCGCGCCCTGCCTCGAGAAGAGCGGGGCCCAGTCCTCGCGAAGCGCCCTCACGGGTGGGCCGCGCGGCCTCCGGCCCCCGAGGAGGCCCCGCAGGGACGGCGGCCCACGGTCGACCCAGGTCGCGCCCGGGCGCACCGCGCCTCGCGCGGCCCCGCGGGCGTGTTGTGCAGGAGACGCGGGCCCGTCTAAAACGACGCGAAGATCGGGACAAAATCGGATCGGGATAACTCGAAATCTCTGAGAA